TGACCTACCCGGTCAAGTAATGTCTCGTGTGCATTCAAACTACATGGCGGATGTTGCATCGATCGTTTACATGTGGCCGAAATAATTCGCTTACGGTTAAACTAAGTTGAATTTTACTTGCATTTGATAACAATTCAACGAATTTAATTTTCGTGCGTTGGTATAATCACTACTGAGTAATAATCAACAATTTCAACAGTTCGAAAACAAGTAAGTTATTCACTTGTGAGCCGAAGCATGGCCGGATTGCGTTACCGTACTCACGGTATCATACTTTTTTAGTGCCGTACCATGATCATTTTCTACTAAGCAATGCATTAATGTTTGTTTTTATTTGAAACTCCTGTCAGAATATACTTTCCGTTACGAAGAAAATAAAAAAAAATGCATATTACATTAAATATACAGAGTATTTTTTTTTCATGTGAACAGTTTTTTTGTGACGTGACGCTTATCACTCTTTCCTGACATCTAAATTGGAGTTACGCTTATATTCAAAAGATTGTACGGTGTATTGTTTGTTTTGTGTGAGTGATGTGGGGGGAAAATGACCACGCCCATTTAGTGATTGCAATATGTCCCTAATATAAACCGCACCCCGAACTTGACCTGTTGATCCCAATTTTTTATTTGATACATTGTAATATAAACCGCGGTTTATAATAGGATTTTAACGGTACTAGACAAACACTGATACATTTCTACCATTTACATAAGTGCATGAGCTAATAGTGGAGCAATCACGCTAATGACAAATTTGGGAAATTCTGAATTAAGCTGTTTGGAATTAAAATTTTTCTTTTAATATATTGTCTGCACCTTCTCACACAGACTCCAACACCATGATGTTATCTGCTGGGAGTTTTACGGCACCGTTTGAACACCTAAGCCAGGAAGAGACGAAGAGAATGGTACAGCATTACATGGCATATCTAAATGATAATACAAGACTTATTGCTAATCCCGGCCTTAAGGTAAATATCCTCATTAAGTTTGCTACGTATGGGATTAATTTCACTCAAGTATTCAGCATCGATAAGCTCTTAGTGTCACGCAGGGTTTGCGCTAGTGTCTTAGCAAGACGAGTCCCACTTACAAAATTTTAAGAAATTAAAATTTGACCCTGGATAACTTTATTAGAGATTGGACCCCAGCTTGCCTGAAAAACTGGGTCCCTCTTCAATTATTGGAGTCCCGGAAGCAAAATATGGGATTAACACAATCCCTGAATGTGTACCGTGAGATTAGTGGATTTTTTAGCATGGCAGCTAACGACTGAAATACAAAAGCTTATTTCTGTTGAAGGAATGTTTCAAATACAGATTGCGAGTTTCTGTGATGTCATAGAAAAAACAGCATTGTGTTAGATGTATGGCTTGAATGACGTTCTTAGCTCAAACAATTGCACAATCTTGTAAATAGTCCTGTTAAAAATTGATTGATAAATTGTTAACTGAGTTTTTTCTTTCTCATAACAGCCTGCAATAAAGAATGATGTGGCTGCCACTAGTGGAATTGACAAACACTGGAAGAACCAAGTAGAAACCAGTGATGTGAGAGACTTTATTGTCAGAAGATATGTAGCAACTACAAATGGTGTATTTAGATTATAT